TAACGCAAAGTTGTGCTGTTGGCAGCACAAAAGTTTCAAAAGCTCTACCGGCAAAAATAATGTCCAACAAATTTTCAAATTGGTCCAACAATGTCCAACAAATCATGCCTGACATTTTTTATTAGGGTGAAATTTTGCTAACGTTATGTTGTGCTGTTGGAGTATAGATGGCAGCACAAAAGTGTCGAAAGCTCTACAAACAAAAATAAAGTCCAACAAAGTCTGGGGGCAATCCAACAATGTCCAACAAGTTACCAACAAGTTTGTTGGTTATATTGCATATGTGTCTGTCATAGTTGTGCTGCTAACTTTATAAGGGTAAACTTTTAAGCCCAACTAATACTTTTTATCTACATATTTATACTATTTGATCATTAAAAATATAATTTACATTATTATAAATATTGAAAAAAAGCTTATGGTCATCCCCCAATAACATCTTTGTTGTATATAATATTTTAATAAGTTATATTTTTTGAATTCTCGTTGTTGAAAACTATTTTACTTTTGACCTCTGAAGTAGAAACTAGATCTAATTTGTTACTTTTACTACTCTAAAAGTTATGACTGATTACAAAAAAAAAACACACGTTATTATAAAATCAATACATTCATCGCTCCGCTCAGAATCTAAAATCTAACTTAAGAAACAAAAAACAGATGATATGGACTATCGTAACAACCAACAACTTTATAACCAAAATAGAAAAAGTATGGATAGTCGATCATAAATGAGAGTATCAAATATTTGAGCACATACTTCAAAAGGTTTAAAAATATTTTACATTCCATTTCTATGCAAGTTTATAATAGCTAAAAATGTTTACAAAAAAATCCAAAAAAATTCAAACTGATGCAGTCGAGTATAAGTATAACGTTAAAAGACGTTTGGGTGAATAAACAGATATTTTAAATCAACAATTTGCACAATTAAACCGATACTCAAAAGACAGGGCCAAAGTAATAAAATAATTAAAAGATACAATTGAACTCTCTAAAAAATGATACGACAACATCCACAGTAATAGCACATGTTGAGCACGTAAGATATGCTTTTGTAATCATAGAAGCACCCCTAGAAGCGCTGTCGGGAATACTAGAACAAAGTGACTACAATGGAAAACGACATCCGATCGTAAACGCGACCAGAAAACTTAAAGGTGACAAAAACACTTTACAACTACTAAATATTAGAAATGTCAGCAGTAGTTTCGTTGTAAATTATTGTCAGGAATATTTATTGGACAGAAAGGTAACAATACTGAACGACCACGACAATGAAAAACCCGTCTTTGAAAATCACTGAATTAAAACTATTATTTGACTTAGAAAACACATCCTAGGTTTTCGGGATACTGCAGCTGACATCTGGTTAATGACATAGATATATTGCTAGTCAAAGGCATTTTAGAAGAAAAAGATAAAATGTACCAACATTTTAATTCAATAAATTTAGAAACGCTTAAAGAAAATAAATTAAATAACTAATTCTGCATAATTTCAAATAATTTCTCAAAATATAAACAACAATTTAAAAATCAGGACAAATTTTGATCATAAACGATATTTTATTTTTCAAAAACTGGTATGTGTTGATTGTACTAAAAATAATATTTTAAGAAGTTTGACATTTTCGATTCGTTTTTAGTTTTTTTTCTTAAAGAAATACTAAAATTATTAATAATTAGAAGAATAAAGTACGGATCAAAAAAAAAAAAAATAATGTCAATTACATTATTATTGCAAGAAAAAAAATTAAATATAATGTATACTCTGAATCTTATGACGTTGGTAAATATTATTTATAATAAAACAGTTTTTTAAATTCTTACCATGTGACTTGTGACCTAGGTGAACTAATAGAGTATTTAATAGATTTACTAGATCAGCGTCTGTAAGTTCTTTGAAATAGTAAAAATTATAGCAAACTCCTAAATAAAAATGAAAATAAAATAAAAAATCATAATAAATAATAATAATAATAATAATAATTGTATTTATTTATTTTCTGAACTAAATGCATACATTACTATGTTAAGAATTGAATTAATAAATAAAAACATGGATATTTTGAAAAATGTAACTACCTACCTATACAATTTAGTTTGTAACCAATATACATACATGTTGGGAAATTTTTACGGACTAAATGGCTGTTAACTCCACCACTGGTTCAATAATATTGATCAATAATTGTTTAAATTTTTAATTTATCATTTCATTGAATATAATATGTTGAAAACAAATCATTCACAAATCATAAGTATTTTATATTATATAAATATGATTCATTTTTAACGTCAAAATCCAGCAACTCAATTTTTGAATTTTCTTTGCAATGGACATTGTACAAATTATAATTAAAAGTATATTAGCACATATTTACCTTAATAACAATTTTTTAGGTTAAATAACGGAATCTGTTTTAAATTTTAAAATACAAAAATCTCCTAAAAATGTCTATGTACAATATCAAACATTGAACAAATACTTTAAGCATTTAAAGTTCAGTAGGAGGTGTAATATATGATGACCCTTGAAATTTCACCACACTGTACGTTTCTCTAAACCTCGAATATTTATAAATAATAAACTATATGTTCAATAATCAATATTCGATATAATGATACATTAAACCATTTAAACCACAAAAATGGCTCATATTTTTCTGCAGCAGTTCCTATTAAAAATTTCTTAATAAACTAACTCCAAATAATAATGAATTTTCACTCAACATATTTTTATAATCATGAATGTAATTTCATGAAATATTTAATATTTTTTATTATTTTTTAATTTGTATCAATCTAAAGTTTAGTTTATAGAAAATTATTTCTTCATGTTTCCTTATAGTTTGTCCTTGAGCTCTTTATAGGAAGTGACTCTCGCGTAGTCCTTTATTATTTCGCTGATGTTCCTCATTTTGGGCCTTTCTCTCGGTCGTGTGTGCTCCACAATTCCTTCAGTTATTAAGCTGTGTAATTTTTTATCATATCTTAGCATTATTTTGCCCTATAATATCTGCAATTTTCTATATTTTTATTTAAGCTTTTACTAACTAGATTTAAGATTTTTACTAATGCATTAAGCATTTCCTCATTCATTTGTCTTTCAATCAAACTTTTTCGTTATTATATTAAAGTATGTTACATATTTTTACTTATGTGGTGTTCATATAAATGCATGTCTAATAATATTATCATTTCATTACATTAAAGTTTCGTTGCATTTTCGTTTTTAATAATAAACACAGACGCGTGTGAATAAAATACAATTTTAGACAATAATTATTAAATTTGAATAATCTTAAGTATTCTTATACAAGCTTTAAGTACAATGCATTATCGTTAAAACTTATAAGACAAAACTTCATAAGTAGGTACATTCTAATTTAAAGTGATCACTATTAGAACAAAATGGAAACATTTTAAAAATATTTTTCTTCACTCTTATTTCATCTAAAAACTAAGTTTCTATGATATTATTTTATATGAAAATAAAACTTAACGAGTTAAGCAAGTGTAATAAAATAAACATCAATAAATTCACTTGCATTAATTTAAAACCATGTAACTCAACTGTGAGCCTGTGCATAATACTAATAGTTTTTTCATCTGTTTATTCGCCTTAATTCATTCATATTTTTACTTTTACATTTCGTATTATTTAAT